ACCCAAACCACATCACACACGGTGTTTCTCTTTTGATAGTTTCACACACAGACATACGCAATACAAATGCTCCTGTCAGCCGGTACACTTAATTATCCGCCGATGTGGGATTTGGACAAGTTGTTATTTTTCACTTTCTGTGTTTGATTATTGCTTGTCAGTTTTTTTTTCCATTACTTGCTAAGTAAACAAACTGGAATTCTCTTCAGAATGATATACTCGCACCAGAAATGATCATTTTTATGTTTATAAAAGCCTTTCTTTTTTTTTTCTCTCGCTCTCTTTTTTTTTCATTTGAACATGTTCTTAACCAAATAGATGAATAGAGGATTTCATGAGGAAACTGTTGCCACAGCTGTGGATGTTGCACATTAGGTAAAGACTGATTGGTGACCAGCCGTTTAGTCAAGAGCGTCGCAAAAGGGGTACCATGTCATGATTTTAATTTCCGCCCTACTTCCCAAACCTGTAAACACGCACTCAGGCAGGGAGAGAGAAAAAGAGAGAAGTCACCTGACAGGAAGTGCGTCTCGGTGGATCGATGGCTGAACGGTCAGGAAATGTGGAGTGTCCTCTGTGCCCTATGACTCAGCAGACGATCATCTTAGTGACTAGACTATTTCCATTTCCTCTCAGGGACCAATGTTAATCCACTTTCAATTTGTCCGTTAGGTCCAGTCACATTTTTAGTTTACGATATTTTCACTTTGATTTCCTCTTTCGAAAGTGCATAAACATGACTCACATCTGGAATTATGAATCTCCATTAGGGAGTGGCAATATGTCCTTAAAATAAAATATCCTTTTTTTTTTCCCCGCAAAACTCTTAATTAGTAATTTGAATCAATCCTCCCTGCTTTCACTAAAAAAAAAAAAAAAAAAAGGAAATGTTTAAAACACATTTTTGCTTTATTTCTCCTGATGCCAAACGAGCTTTGAAAAAGTTCATTTCCAAAAAGTATTAATTTAGCAATACTTCTAACATATTTTTATTTAATCTCTCTTTTCACAATAACATGAAAATAAGTACATGTGACACCTTGAGATACGATTGGCCTGACTTAGGAGCTTTTCCAGATACCAGCCATCATTCGACCCATTTTTCTTTTTAGGGTGGGGGTAGGGGGGAGGGGGTTGGTTTGGCTTGTGATCGCAAACTTGAGGTACGAGCACTGTATGACGGAAGTGACCTCAACTCCACAATAAGAAACACTTTGGCTTACAATGAACAATTTTTCAAAAAAAGAGGCCTTCAGATGTTTGATGCCACTCCCACTTGAAGTTTACTGTCTGAGAATTTAAAACAATCGCATAGCTAAAACTTTTGTCTGCTAGCTTACTGCTAATGACAACACATAACGGCAAATGGATATGTAGGCTTTTGAACAACTGTTATTTGAACACAAACAGCACAGCAACACATTTCGACATTTGCTATAACTGCTCACGGTCATATATTCTTTATCCTTTGCAAGGAGCTGAGATGAGCTGTTCATCCGGCTGTCTCTTATATTTGCCTCCGGGTGGCCAAGTCAGGTATCATCACATTGGCCATTTATTTGACGCCAAAACAAATTACGTTGAGTTCTGTTTACATATGTCATGATGATACATTTTGTGTACATGCTATTTTAACTATTTATTTTATTGGAGCTAAGTCGTAATTTGCGGCTCTCAATGGGAGCAAATTAATTCAAGCACAGCTTCTTTTCGAGGAGAGTCCACTATTCGAGGAAATAGTGGAATCATTTTGGGTCAGTTAATACGAGTGCGTTTTTTTTTTAATTCTTTATTTTTTCAGCTCCCATTTTACATTCACAGTCACGTCTGTAGAAGAGACCAGTGGCCCTGCGCCAGCTCAGTGCCTGCAGGGGGGATAATTGGTCGTCAAAGCTTCTGTGCAAATCATTACCGCAGACTTAATCGTTGACCTTCCTACCGCACGTTTGCCGTAGCATTAACCTGGCCGCTGACGGTCATGGATTGGGGGCAGTGAGTCACAATTAAGGCCATCACACCATTGTGTGTTTGTTTGTGTTGTTTTTGCTTTCTCTCCTATGCCAGTCACTCACCGTTACTGTACAGAGCTATAGTTTCAAAGGAACTGACTGATTCATTATTTTGGCTTTTACTGATTTCACGACACTAGTGAGGATAAGTGTTTTGGAAAACGGATGGATGGATGATTTAATGATTTCAACCTCAGAGATTGGAGAGCCCACCCCAGAGTCCCCAGACTCTGCTTCCTCAAAGGAAGGCGTGTCGGTGGAGTTGAGGAGATCTTCGAAATTTTCAAATTGCTTCACTTAGATTTCTTATTAGTTACTGTACATTCACAATCTTTTACTTATTCACCACCTCACTCGAATCCCAATTTGTCAAATTTAACATACATGCCAGTGCCATAACACTGCCTCCGCCATGTTTGACATATGATGTGGTATGCCTTGGATCATGAGCCGTTCCATTCTGTGCCTTTTCTCTTCCTCTCAGTCTCACACAAGTACCGGTAGCTCTTTTTTTCATATAATTGTATAGTTGGTGTAAGGAACAGTTTTTCAAGTCTGACATTGTGTAACGCGGACTCAGTGGCAGCCCACAACCGCCCCACACAATGGCTGCATGCGTAGTTGGCCACGATCAATCGCACTCCATCTCCCTGACAGCACCAGTGGCCACAGCACTAGTCTTCTGTCACACAAACACACTGAGCCCACATGATGGATTGCACAATGGATTATGATGAATTATACAACTGGCAAGCACATAAGACAAACACACGCAGACTTTGTTGTCCCAGCACACTCGCGGTGTTGTCATTGTGGGATGAGATCACATTTTGAAATTCAGTCTGGTGATTTCTATTTCTCGTTGTTGTGAAGACATACGAGAGCGTTTGCCTTCTCGGGGTTCAATTTGAAATATGCTGCCACGGTTTCACGCTTCCCCTGCCGTCACCTCTTCCTCCTTCCTGAGGCATTGTTCCTCATCTTCCGTCTCGGTCAATTAATTGCACATCAAGAAAATGTGTTGTTCATTAACCTCATTTGATTTGAATTTGTTCGAATAATGTCAAGGTGGAAGGTCTTTTGTTTTGATTGAAACTGTTTTCAAGTCTCACTTTAAATGTGTACGGATTCCCCCACACTGTTAAAACAAGTAAACACTTTGCCTTAACTTTGACATCAATGATGGACACACATGGTCTGACTGGATATCTGTGGAACATAGTGTAAAACGTATCTTTCACAGATTGGCGAAAAACTTATTGTAGGGTCATAATGGTGGCATTATGTACTCAGCGTGAAGTTTGACAAAAATAAATCTTCACTTGTGCACGTTGGAATGAGTCACGGCTACTTGTTGATTCCTGTGCGGGTCTCCCGTAGACAAGATGATTGATGAATCAGCAGTCAAGACTACACAAGAGCCTGACTGGACTGTGCTCCAGTGATTCAGCCTTTCAATGTCAGCAAATGTAAATGCGCATTTACGAGATGTGAAGGTGAAGTATGGAGTGGAATGAAAAATAATTGTGTTTGTATGGACAGCAATAAAGGGAAGTTGCCTCATGTTTTTGTCTTTCTCTCCATCCTCTCCTTCCTCTCTCCTCCTCTTGAGCCACTGACAGTGCATCCAGCTCTCCATCGAGAGCTAATGCATTTCTCCTAAATATTTCAATATGCCGCTCCTCCGTTCTGCAAGTCTGAACACGTGCTCCCTTGGCCAGAGCCACAGAGGCGTACTGACACCGATAAAATCCCACTCTGGTTTTTTGGTGTCTCGCTGTGCTACAGCAAACAAGGCTCCGAAAGAAAGAGAGATAAGGGAGGAGAACGTGTGGGAGGGCTTCCAGACAGTGGGGTATAGATTACAAAGATACAGACTTTGCTTCTCGTTTGAGATATATGAAGAAATGTGTGGTTTCTTTTCTTGCACTAGTCAAACAACTGGAACAGGCCGATGCATTCATCAAGTTTCAGTTGAGTCACTGAACAAATGAGATGCTAAAGCCAGACATGAATTTTTCCCTGTTACACGTGGTTATAGAGCCACCAAGCTTATCGAAATAAAAAACTGCATCGGACAGTGGTCCAGTCGGGAGCAAAAAGTCTTTATTCCCTTGAACATTTATTATACAAGATAAGGGTAAAGGTCTTCTGGCCTCAATTGATTAATCAATAAAAGTATGCATGAGTAACGTCAGTACAAAGAAGAGTTGTAATAGTTTGGGATTTTTCTTTTTTTTTTTGGTCAAGCCAAATTTATTTGTATAGTTCTCCATCACAAAAGAGTCTCAAAAGAGGCTTCACATGTTGCCCACAGTTGACAAATATGAAGACCTCCCCCTGTTCTTAACCCAACAAAGAGTCAAGGAAAAACTGAGAAAAAAAATCTGGGGGGGAAAAACAAACCTTGAGAAGGGGCCGCAGATGGGGGAGAATCCCCCTTCCAGCCCTAGTGGGCAACATTTAACACAATTTGCTGCAATAAAGTGTTAGAAATAGTGTAAGAGCCCATTTAGTAAGATGAAGTGCTGCAGGAAGTCGTAGTTACAACTGTAGTTAGTTTTTAGCTCAATTTGACTTTAATTTTTGTTTTTTTTATTCTTTTAGTTTTAATTAGTTTTGAGAATGGTTTTGTTAGTTTTCATTAGGTTTTTTTAATTAAATTTTTTGTAAATGCTTCATTTTAGGATAGTTTTTATTAGCTTGCCCTATGATTACAATCCAGCTCACTCGCTAGCCTAATAAGGACAAGCGCTACAGAAAATGGATGGCAGGGCTGGAATATTACACACCTTAATGTTTCCTTTTACTCTAATTATAGGCTGTAAATCATGGTAAAAGCGGATATAATGTGGTTCATTTTTCAATAACATCATGTTATGTTTTCACATGAGCACGCGTGTAAGTACTGTATGCTCATGCGAATTGATTTGAACACAAACACAAGAGTCACAGCAGTTAGTGAGTGATGCATTTGTGGTTGTGTTGCAGTTGCCGAACGAGTAACCGGAAAAGCCTCATCCTGACCAGTACATCGCCGACCCTGCCCAGGCCTCACTCCCCACTGCCTGGACACATCGGTCAGTATAGAAAATAATACGCTTGTGAATTACCATCATGTTGACGTTTCATGCTATGCAAAAAAGTAGTCCATCTTCTTCGGTCGCCATAGCAACGGTATTTTCTTTGTAACAAGCCATTACTTAGATTTTTATTTATTATTTTTTAGAGGCTATTACTGCAATCTTTTGCCGTAACAAATCAGCACAAAAACTTGATATTTACCACGCATCTTCTTTGGGATCATAATCTGCCAAAATGCACATTTTATCGACTCCACAAGCAGCAATGACAACTTTTACTTCCCTCATCAAGTTTGTTAATATGATGACTTAATGTCTATTTACTTTGGTTGAAAATGTCTCCAAAAATCTCCCCAACTCACATGATATTCATCATATATTCACAATTTTATTCCCACTTTGAATGTGGGAAACCAAAATATTAGACGGCGCTCCCCAGTTGATACAGCTCTTCTTGTTGTCGTTTTCTGTATGTCACTAGGAAGCAGCCCGTTGGACAGCCCACGCAACTTCTCACCTAGTGGTCCCGCCCACTTCTCTTTTGCCTCTTCAAGAAGGTTTGCATCTCTTTTTATTGGGAAGGTCTAACGCTGTGAAATTGTGGATGGGATTAATTTCACATGCACAGTGAAACAGGAGGTGATAATACACACATGCAAAGGGGGACTGGTCCTCGACTGTGTGTGTGTGTGCGTGCGTGCGTGTGTGTGTGCTACTTAAACTGATAACAAAAATGACTCTCCAGCGCATGATGGCATTTTTGCCGCTTCTTTTTCTTTGTCTCCCTCAGGCCTGATGGTCGTCGATGGTCACTGGCTTCGCTTCCATCCTCAGGATATGGCACCAATACACCCAGTTCAACGGTAAGAGTTACTCAAAGGGGCTTAAAAGAGCACACTTGACACTTATGTTTGAGATTATGCCAAGTGAGCAGCATGGCTGTTTGTATATACACAGTGATCCCTCGCAATTTATTTATTTATTTATTTTTAATTAAGTCCGCAAAAAGTCTGCAAACGGTCCGCGAGAAGCAGCGAATGTCAGCAAAACAACAGCGACTCACATAGAGCAACATATACAGTCCTACATGTATGTGTTTACTGTATTTTGTTATTCATACACTAACCTAATTTATCCATGTTTAAATCTATTAGTATACAGCATTAAGTAATGTTAATTACGACAAAATTTACTTCTACATGCATGTATACCATTAAATTTGGCCTTCTAAATATTTTTTCTACTCATACACATGTATATGTACCTATACGGGGGGGCAGGGGGTGGGGTCGCTACTTCGCAGATTTTCGTTTATCGCGGGTGGTTTTGGTCCCCGTTAACCGCAATAAACGAGGGATTACTGTACAGCATGTCCAATGCAATTGAGTAGCAACCAGCCCAAGGTGCAGCCCGCCTTTCACTGTCAGCCGGGATAGTCTCCAGCACAACCGTGACATGAGTGAGGATAAGTGGAATAGAAATTGGATGGATGAATCAGAACTTTTTTTTCTGAAAGTGTAATACTCAGTTCAAAATTAGCCGTTGTCGTTATGTCTGTGAAAACTCACCCATCTGCACAAGACATAATGTGAAGTTTGCAAGCTGAGCTAGGATCGCTCGTGACCTGAGCCCTGAGTACTTGTGATGTCATTTTCATTGGACAGCAAGTGACAATATGAATTTTTGAAGGTGTTATTTGTACATGAAATATCATGAAGTATCTAATTCATTGTAGACAAAATATAAACTTTTTTGTTGCTGAAAATTGCGAAATGATTAAAGTATCCTTTTAACGCTTTTAGATGTTGTGCTTTTAGTTCTGTGAAGCACATTGAGTTGCCCGGTGTTTGAAATGTGCTGTATAATTAAAGTTGCCTTACCTTGCATTGCCTTGGGTTGCTGCCTATCCTAGCTGAGTTAACAAAGCAAGAAAAAAGACAAAATACATTTTAATTATTTAGTTTCAGGGGGGGAATGGCTAAATGAATGCAACAAATAAGACATGGCTCTTGATGCTCGGTTGGCCCAAATAACGAATGCAGCTGGCTGTGCTTGGCCTGTGTGCCATAATTTGCTCACCCATGCCTTCGAGTGCCTTTTTCCTTCTGGCAAACTGTATTTTATTTCAGCATCTGTTAAACATAATTTGTGTCCTGTGCATGAACATTTATCTCCTCTAAAGACATTTGCGTGTTGTATACATTTTCATGTGTGAAATCACTTGCCGTTATGTCGTTCATCTCGTCGTGCTCTGAAGTTGCCTGTTCCGCTTGTTTCTTTTCGCTTTGAAAGCATTTCACGCTCCACAAGCCTCTGAGCGGCATGCGCGCACACAAAAACACAGAAGAGCATGCAAAAACTTAAAAATACCTTATCAGTTGCCAAGAAATGATTGACCTGATTTGTCTGCGCGCGTTCACTCGGTCATCTTGGAAAAGAAAAAGAAAGCAAAAAAAAAAAAAAAAAAAAAGCGGGGCAGAGATAATTGAAATGAATTGTGCCTCGCAGTCACAACGTGTTCCAATAAATTTCCCTACACCTCACTGTGTTCCCTCTGGCGTGGATAGTTAATGAGGAGGGGTGGGTGGCACAGAGGTGATTAGAAGATCACTTTGGCAGACATGTTATGAGCTGTTGTGTAGCGTTATGCTAACTGAAAATCTGCTGTTGCCTTGGCATCTTTTGACTGTTTTGTTTTTTTTTTTTGTTTTTTTTGTGTGTGTGTGTGTGTGTGTGTGTGTGTGTGTGTGTGTCATCACAGTGCTGTATAAACTGCTACTTAGATTGTAGCTCCCGTTTCACTCATCATGCAGTCGATACATGTTCCTCTCCACTTCCTGCTTCATTCCTTCTTGCCTATTGGAGCCATTACTAGCCTGGTTAGCCACAGCCTCAGCCCTGCATATTGATGAGAGCAGATGAAAGGTGTGCACGCTCGTGTGGGGAGAATTCATACGTCTTCTTTAAATGCATGCATAAATTCTTCTGAAACGGGAAGTAGCGGTGCATGTAGCGTAAATAAGAACCTCTTTGAAAACTGCCACTTTTAACCTTCTCCTTGGTAAATATGAAAAGGATCTGCTGTATATTTTTCTCCTATAAATCCAGGCAGGGCAGCACAGCAGATTAGTGGGTTGTCTTCGTCACAGTTCTGAGGATGAGGGTTTGAATTTCTGTTTCTGTGGAATTTGCATGTTCTCCCTGAGCTTATGAGGTTTTCTCAGGGTGCTCTGGCATCGGTGTTCGGTTCACTGAATACTCTTAATTTTCTTGGGATGTGAACATGAGTGTAAATGCTTGTTTGTGTCAATGTGCCCTGTGATTGGCTGACCGTCTGTCCAAGGCATACCCTGTATTAGAGATAATTCATGGATGGATAATTTAATTTTGAATATAGCATAGCAGACCTATTCTTTTAAATAATAGTTCATTACAAAATAAAATAACATAATAAATGCAATGCAGGCAATATGGGTTCAGTTCCCCCACAGTGACGGTGTGATTGTGAAAGTGAATAGTTGTCTGTCTCTATACGTGCCGTGTGACTGCCTAGCGACCAGTCTGGGGTGTAGTCGGCCTTTTGCCTAAAGCCAGCTGGGTTAGGGTCCAACTCCCCACAACCCGGAACAGGAAATGAATGGATGGATGTTTATATGGTCTGGAGCCTATCCCAGCTGACTTGGAGCAAGAGACGGTGTACACACTGGACTGGTCACCAGTCAATCACAGGGCACATATAAATCCATCGGCACTCACATTCCCACCTATGGGATGTTTAGCGTCATCAAGGATTCTCACATGTATGTTTTTAGAATGTGGGAGGTAAATTAGGGTACCCGTAAACTCTGCACAGGAGTTAGATTTCAACCAAGGATCTCTCGACTGTGATGCAGATGTGCTCAAACCGAAGGTGGACGTCTTGCCCCATTTTGACTTGAAGTTACCAAAGAAATCAAATTTGCACGATTTCCAGGTAGTCATTCTAAATGGCGCCAAGTGATGTTTTGTGTTGGGGCGCTCTGATGTAGGCACTGCACTGTGGAATCGTTTGAAGATGAAGGTTGAAATGAGGATGAAAGATATGGAGGCACATTCGTACTGTGTGTGGTTGCTTTCTTAAGGACCCTGTGGCGTTTTCCTCTATATGTCCATCTGATCTGGGAAATTTCTGTGACCGGATTTCCTGCATCCCTTGTCATTATTGCACTCTTCAGCATCCAAGTGGCTGAGAGCAGTTTCCTTAACAGCAGAAATCATTGTGTGGTCAATGCCAAGCATGACATCCCATTGGGAGGCGCGTTCATTCATTCTCCTATTGATCCAGGTTGGCGTTTTCCCCGCTGAGCTGGCAGAAAAGCCTCTCTCAACCCCTCCGAAAGGCAGCAGGCCACTTTTATTGTATGAGGCTGTTTCATTCCTTGCAGAGTTTTAACCTTTATGTTCGTCTACTCTTCTGCCCTTCTTGATATTTTCTCTGTTCCTTCACCGCTCTCTATACCACCTTGTGTTCATGTTTTTTTTTTTTTTTGCACCCACTCACATGATGATACACTGTGTGCTTTCCTTTCCTCCTCCTCCTCGCTTCGCCGCTCCCTCATTCACATCAATTATTAGCCGCTTCACCGGCATCAAAGGAGAAAAGAAAATCAAAAGATAAAACAAAGTCATTCTCTCTCTTCTTGGCCCCGCTGGTTCCTTTCCAGTCGTCCAGCTCGTCCCAGGAACGTCTGCACCAGCTGCCCTTCCAGCCCACCATGGACGAGCTGCACTTCCTGTCCAAGCACTTTGGCAGCACCGAGAGCATCACGGATGATGACGGGGGCCGCCGCTCGCCGCACGTCCGTCCTCGCTCTCGGAGCCTCAGGTGAAACCTCCGCCAAGGAAAATAAAAACATGTCCAAAATGTCCCGTTTCATTGAAAAATCATGAGGAATGGATGATATTCCACCTCGCACCTCTAGGTGTCAGTAATTCTCTCTCTGCTGAATCAGTGGCTCATTGCTTTCTCCAGTAAAAGCTGAACGCAATGGCAAAAAATACAAATGAATTCCTCTGTTTCCAACTTCATCCAGATCTGCACCAGTGTTTCACAGGTGCTTCCTTGGCCCATGCACAGCCCCTCTCCACAAATTTGTGCACTTAGTGTTACGACTGGCCCGAACTGGTGGCGTGATGAGAAATCGGTCCGATCACTGGATTTTCAGATGATCGTGTCAACTGAAAAAATTGAACCACTGGTGACTTATGACCATAAACTGTAAAAGGTTTTGGATCGAGACTAAGTATCTTCAGAAACTCTAAATCAACTGACTTTGACTGGGGTTTGAGTGCAAAAAAAATGTGATTGGGTCTTCCCTTTAGATTTCTGTCAAACTCCATCCATCTATTTTCTGAACAGTGTATATACTATGAATCCAGAATTGTTATAACACTAAAATGCTTGAAATTAAAAAATATATATATATTAGACATGGCTTTGGTCTGAGCACAAAAATATGAATAGTTGAGTTTTCACCTGACTAACCCAGGATAGGCTCCCCCGAAATTCATAAATCGGCAAATACCAAAATAAATGGCAACACAGTGCGATTGCACAAAAATTATTTTGTAAAACCAAGAGCAGTAATGCCAAATATGATAAAGAAAGAGTTTAGAATTATGATCCATCACAGTGTATTGCAACGAAGCACTACACATACCCCTCAATGGCTTTGAGCGGCACTGGTGATGGCATCTGTGCAATTTGATCGGATGCTATTTTAGTCCTTCTAAGGGAGGTAAATGTACTTTGAAATCATTACCAAGTCATTTTTGAATTATAATCACCTTCTGACAAGAAAACACAACTGACTGAAATCGTTCTATTGCAAAGTTCAAACGCAAATGGGTGTTTTTAAGAGTATTAACTCAAATAACAGCAAGTACCGTGTCATTTTCTAAATGTGGGATGTGTGCATATAAACCATTACTTTACACTATGTATTATCTTATGATGATGATGATGATGATGATGCACTACTGTCATGGTACCAGCACTGAGTGGCAGACTGTAATTTGGGATTAATTAAAAGTTAATAATCAGGGAGGTTAAATTACCGCGGAATGTCAACGTGTCCATGCCAATCCAGTCCAAGTGATGCTGATGATTTTGCAAGCGTCATATACGGGTTGCGTGGCGGGCTACATTCAAACACACAAAATTTGACTCGTCCATGAAATACAGATAAATATGCGGCACTGAAAATTGTGAAAGAGTGGCCACCAGTTTCCTGTATCTTGATCTGCCCGCAGATTCATTTTACTACCCTATCGAGAGGTGATACATACGCTCAATATACTGTATATGTAGGCAGTTGCGAGTGACAATAACAGCAAAAAAAAAAAAAAATCTTTATCGCAGCAGGTTGAAAGGACACACACTGCGAGTGCTGTCAAGGAGCCCGCAAAACTACCAGGCCAATTTCTGTGACACATAATGGAGCAAAAAAACAAAACCTTTCTTATGCTTCTTGTGATGTGTGTATCTTGCGCCCTGCGTTTTGAGAGAGCAGCACCTCCTTTCTTTCCAGGGGTACGAGGCTCACGCTCCCTGCGTGCACACCCCAAAAATATTCTCCCAGTACCTAAAGAACATCACTACTTATCAACTCTCAGCCGGCCTATTAATCCGCTCAGCAGATCCTATTTTAGATAATACTCCAGCATGTGTGCGGGCTTTTCCACAGCGCCACCCCCATTGTGTACCTTGACATGCCTCATTGTTACTATTCACATCACGTCCATCTGCCAGGTTTGTCTATAGCGTGTTTGCTCACAAGACATCTTTTCATCATCATATGCTCTCTCATACCACTCAGTGTGCCATTGTAGTGTCCGTATAAATTGAAAAAAGGAATTATATGAATGTTATGAGCCCTCTTTCAATGCAAGTCTCTCAAAGATGTGAATGTTTTTTTTTCTCAAGTGGGGAGGGGGGAGGGGGGAACAAGAGTTCCACTATGCTTCCAACTGCATATTTTACTCGCTCTTTGATTTTCTCATTGAGCGATGTGTTTTAACA